ATCCTCTTAATTGCTGAGCCGTCTCTCCAGCCCCCAAATATCTTTATTTGATTTAGGATGCTTGGTAGCATTTATGTTTAAACATTGCATTCTATTTTTCATTGTTTCTTACTTTGAAAGTAGAAGACATAATAAAGGTAACCCTGCTAGAATCTTTTGGAGGTACAATCATTGTGTTGTTGGGGGTGTTTTAAGAGCTCTAAAATACAGGAAATTCTTGAGTCAAATGTGTAGTAATTGGCATATATTGTTTAAAATCAGTGATAATAGCTGTCAAAAACATGGTCTTTGGAATGTAAACTTAACCTGTATGATTAGAAAGAATATAATGTTTTGATCTTTAAATTTGGATAGAATAGTAATTTTTTTACAACATTTAGCAGTATTTTATCACTTAAATGACTGGTAGTAAATGTAACAAATAATTGTCTATCAGATTATAAAGAGTTTATATATAGACAAATCTCAGTTTGAAATAAATGTGGGTTTTTTTTCCCCTTTTTTGAGACAGGGCACTGTGTATCTCTGTCTGTTCTGGAACTTACTGTATAGATCTGGCTGGCCTCAGACCTGCTTTTTCTTCCAGAGTACTAGAATTAAAGGCGTGAGCCACTATTCTGGTTTTCATTAATTTTTTTTAAAGGAGAAAAATTTTTTGTACAACAGGAGGAAATGTTTCATTAACTAGGAATAGAAGTCATATAAATATTGGTGGTGCACGCCTTTAATCCCAGCACTCGGGAGGCAGAGGCAGGCAGATCTCTGTGAGTTCGAGGCCAGCCTGGCCTACAGAGCGAGTTCCAGGACAGCCTCCAAAACAATACAGAGAACCCCCGTCTTGAAAAACCAAAAATAAATAAAATGAAATAAAATAATTTCATAATACTATAAAAGTAGAACCTAATGTGTTTTTTCACTTCTGAAGTTTTATCTTTTTATACAGTGTATCTTGATCATATTTATTCTAATTCTTGGGCAACCTCCAACATGTCTCCTTCCCGTTCTCCATAACCTACTGAAGCTAGTTAGTGCTGCCTGCTGGAGTTTATGTTAGATTGGTCCTGTGCAAGTAATTGTAAATGCAGTGAGTTCATGAATGTAGTAGCCATGTTATGTCCAGACATCCACATTTGTAACATTCTTCCCCAATCCTCTCACTGTTTTTATAGTGGTTGCCCTTGTTTACTAGAACTTTGGAAGACATCTCTTGCTTTCCTGCAGTGAGACTTAGGACACGCTAGCTGCAGTGTTCTCCTTAGCTTTTGTGATATTGCTGCCAAGTATTTTACTTTATGCAGTATTTCAAGCCCACAAGATATTGTTGAGAAAGTTATATTTACTTAGATTTACCCACAGATTTTCCCTCGTCCTGGCATCCATGTACTTATTCCTTCTGCTAAAAAAAAAAAAAAAGTACTCCACGATATTTAGCCTTTTCCTACAAATATGTATTTTAGTTTTCTGCATCTGATAGTTTGTTATTTTTATTTATCCAAGATGTGGATCTAATTTGGCAGTTCTTTTCTGTTAGGGATTTTCATTGTGATTCTGTGTCTCAGCTCTGTTCCTAGTGAAACTTTGCTGTTGGTCTTGTTACTTTCTAGCAGAGAATAAATGGGAAGCCTTCTGTGGTTTAATGCTTTTCTCTTTGACCTTAGTTTTCATATATATGAAACACACACTCCCTTAGCAAACCCTAAAAAAGGTGTCCTCCACTTAATTTTGGAGACAAGATCTCTCCACAGCTTTGAAGGTATTAAGTAGGCTAGGCTGACTGGCTAGTCCCAGGAATCTACTTGTCTTTGTTGTCATCATATAATGCACTAAAGAGAAACCAGAACATACAAACCACAAGAGCTATGAAAAAGCCCAGTAAGACATTTAGTCTTTACAGTTATTGACACAAATTTTATATGAAGTTTAGCATTTAAAAATTTTTTTAAATTGGATATTAAAGGGAAATCTGAAAACTACAAAACCAAATAGACATTTACAACTAAAAAAATCAGTGGGTGGCTTTTAAAAATGGATTACTCACAGCAGACTAGAAACTTCATGAAGTAGAAGGTGGGTCAGATGGAAATACAGAGAGAAAACTCACAGGTGGGAAAGGACTGTAAGAGACAAAGGGAACAGTACTAAAAGGTCAACATGTCTAAAGCCGTAATTCCAAAGCATGAAAATGAGTCAGAAGCAGTATTTCAGGAGATAGTCTTAGAAATCAGGATAGTTCAGCAGTGGCTGCTCAGTCGAGGATTGCCTCTGGAGTTACCATCTGGAAATGAAGACCTGGAGTATTCTTGGAGAGCGAGCCACTGGTCTTCAGTCCATCTTGGAAGGCTGAAGAAACCAGGTTCTGGCGTGAGCACAGGCCGATGGTAGCAGCGGTAGTAATAAGATAGATGTGCTCACAAAGAGGGGTGAAAGCAAGCAGCAAAACCTAGCCTGCTCCCCTCATGCTGTCCATCCCACGCTCTGGTACCATGCCACCAGATGCTCTCCTCTCAGGGTAGAATGAGGATCCTGACTCTTCACTTAGCTTCCTAAACAGACATGCTCTCAGAGGCACATTGATTCCAGTCCAGCCAAAGTGACAATCAAGATTAACCATCACAGTACCTGCAGGATGACACTGCTGGCTTCCACGGGCATATACATTTACACACATGATTGGAGCTCTGCTGTAACAGTCTCATCCTCCAAGTGGCATCTATATTTGCTTCTAGAGTTTGTGTCCATATAGTAGCACCCTCAATTATTTTACTAAAGTTGATTTACTTTTCTATGATGACTTAATCTGTTTGTGGGTATGGGAGTTTGCAAAGCTCATTTCCCAATAGTTTGTGGCTGCAGTTTCCTTTATGCAGTACAAGGCTGTTAACAGGCCTGCTTTTTTGTTTGCTTGTTTGTTTTTTTAAGCTGTCTTCTAGAACCAATGAAGAACATGGGAAGTTTTGCCCAATTCTAGACTTTTCTAGTCTTTCTCATCCTGGATTGCTCTGTTGGCTCCTAAGTGCTTTTAAGCAAAGTTTGTTATTAGACATGATGGTGAATGCTGGTAACCCCAAAATTCAGGAAGTACAGACAGGAGGAACTCAATAGTTTGAGAATAGCTTTGACCTGTATCAAAGCGCAAACAAAAATGAAGGAAGGACAGATGGTCTAGGAAAAATGAATAAAGTATTGTTTTATTTGAGGTAAGGTGTTGTCTGCATAGACCAGGCAGGCTGGCCTTGAGTTTCCTTCCCACCTCTGAATCCCAGGTGGTGGAATAGAGGTATGCACAGTCACTCCTGGCTCAGTACATAGGCTTGAGTAATCGAACCGCTCTGTCATTGCTATTACTAGATGAAAGAGCCTTCTCTTCTCTGTCTTCAAGACAGACTTTTTTGCCTGCACATGGGTGAATTCAAAATACACATATTCTAATTTTCAATAAATACAGAATTTTAGTTCGTTTAAAACTGACTTGTTGCATTCCTATTCTTGATTTTATATTACTCTTAATAGGAAAGAGTGCCATCCAAGCCTTTTCTTTTGGCTCAAATTTTTGTTTGTTTGGTTTTTTAAATCATCTATTGGGAGGTGTGTGAAAATAGGGATTGTAACTCAGAATATTTAAATTTTTTATGTACTTGGCATAGTAGTTATGCTTAATTGGAATTTGAAACAAATGACAATCAGTAATCAGAACCTCTGTTTGCCCCTAGGTGGTTGACAGTACTTTGTTGTTAATCACTGAAATCTGGGACAGAATAAACAGATTCTAAATGATTCATATAGTACTTAAAGATATTGTGGGAAATCAAATGAGATCAACCTTTGTGTAACTAAAAAAAAAACATCATTTTAAATGACATTTACTTATTTAGAAGTTGGGGTGCAGGGTGTGTGTGGAAGTGAGAGGACACCTAGACAGTCAGTTCTCTCCTTCAGCTCTGTAGGACCTAGGGACAGAACTCAGCAGGGTTGACAGCAAGTGCCATTACTTGGAAAGCTCTCTTGATGGGCCATGTCATGCTCTCTCTCTCTCTCTCTCTCTCTCTCTCTCTCTCTCTCTCTCTCTGTCTCTGTCTCTGTCTCTGTCTCTCTCGCTCTCGTCAGTCTGCTGTATATGCCTGGTTGGTCCACAGGCTTCCCAAACCCTCCCATATTAGTGTAAATACACTGGGATTTCCGATTCACACTACTATGCCCAGATTCACATGTTTCTGAGGATTCAAACTCAGATCTTCATGCTCGTATAGCAAGTACTATGCCAGTGCCTTTTGTCAGTTTTAATCCATGTGTAGAGTGACAGGTTAGTGTTAGAACATTTAGTACATCTAAAAAGAATGCTCAAAACATTAAATTATAACAGGAAATAACCCATTATAAAAGGGTTTGCATATCTCCTTTGAAAGTTTATATTAACCACACACATATTTTTAGATTTTTAGTGAACTTATTTCTCCTGTGAGAACAGTGTTATGAAGAATACTCTGTAATAAATTTTGACTTTAAATTTAAAACTCATTTGATAATCAGTTGCTTTGAGAAAAAATTGCCCACAACTAAAATCAAGTAGAAGAATCTTAGATTCTGAAGACTAGATTCTTCATTTATGAATGAAGAAACTGACCCAGAAATTTGACTGTCAGCAAAGCTACAAACTGCTTAAATTCATTTCACTCATTTCTGTTCAGAGACTATCACTTTCATTTGAATATGAATGAAAAGTGCCAAGGGGCCATTGATTAAGGAAGCTTTATCTGGTGGCTTTCGGTGGATTGTTTTGTTTTGCATACTCATTTTAGTCAAGTTATTCAAGAAGTTTATTCAAGAAGTTTTGTGAGTATTTCCTTCTATTCCTGCTGTGTATCAGACACTAATATTAGGTGCTGAAGATACTTGTTTTCTCCATTGTAATTATAGTGTGTCCTACTTACAGTTGGCTTTTTTGGGGGGAGGTTGCATTATAGCCTGGTCCTTCAAAGTGTGTTCTTTTCTTTCTCTTTCAGGCAACACTGCATTGCACGATTGTGCAGAATCTGGAAGCTTGGACATCATGAAGATGCTGCTTATGTATTGTGCCAAGATGGAAAAAGATGGCTATGGAATGACTCCTCTTCTCTCAGCAAGTGTGACTGGTCACACCAATATTGTGGATTTTCTCACACACCATGCCCAGACCAGCAAAACAGAACGTATCAATGCTCTGGAGCTTCTGGGAGCTACATTTGTAGATAAAAAAAGAGATTTACTTGGGGCTTTGAAATACTGGAAAAAGGCAATGAACATGAGGTACAGTGATAGGACTAATATAATTAGTAAACCTGTTCCACAGACACTAATAATGGCTTATGATTATGCCAAGGAGGTAAACAGTGCAGAAGAACTGGAAGGTCTCATTGCTGACCCTGATGAAATGAGAATGCAAGCACTGTTAATTAGAGAACGTATTCTCGGTCCTTCTCATCCTGATACCTCTTACTACATTAGATACAGGGGCGCTGTCTATGCCGACTCTGGAAATTTTAAGCGATGCATCAACTTATGGAAGTATGCTTTGGATATGCAGCAGAGCAATCTGGACCCTTTAAGCCCAATGACTGCCAGCAGCTTGCTGTCTTTTGCGGAACTCTTTTCCTTTATGCTACAGGACAGGGCTAAAGGCTTGCTGGGTACTACTGTTACATTTGATGACCTCATGGGCATACTGTGCAAAAGCGTCCTTGAAATTGAGCGAGCTATCAAACAAACTCAGTGTCCAGCTGACCCATTGCAGTTGAATAAGGCTCTTTCCATCATTTTGCACTTAATTTGCTTATTAGAAAAAGTTCCTTGTACTCTAGAACAGGACCATTTCAAAAAGCAGACTATCTACAGGTTTCTTAAACTGCACCCAAGAGGAAAAAATAACTTCAGCCCTCTGCATCTGGCTGTGGACAAGAATACTACATGTGTAGGGCGGTACCCTGTTTGTAAGTTTCCATCTCTGCAAGTTACTGCGATACTGATAGAATGTGGTGCTGATGTCAACGTCAGGGACTCTGATGACAACAGTCCCCTGCATATTGCTGCTCTGAACAACCATCCAGACATCATGAATCTCCTTATTAAATCAGGTGCACATTTTGATGCCACAAACTTACACAAACAAACTGCTAGCGACTTACTGGACGAGAAGGAGATAGCTAAAAATTTGATCCAGCCGATAAATCACATCACATTGCAGTGCCTCGCTGCGCGTGTCATCGTGAGTCATAGAATATGTTATAAAGGGAATATCCCAGAAAAGCTAGAGACCTTTGTTTCACTTCATAGATGATGATTCGAACTGTACTGCAGCACTGTTAAAGCACGACTTGGTAACAGTTGTTTCATTAATGAGCACTGTTGTGATAACACCAGCATTCATTTAGCTTGATATCATTGTGCTCTCATTGGCTAAAGCATTGTAAGCATCAAATTTGCAGGATTGGTTCCCAGTATTTAATATAAATATACCATATAATATATTGTTTGTGAATTATTGAGAAATGTGATGCTATATTCAAATTTCTAAAACTGTCTGCCAAAGGCCACTCTGGTTTTGTTTGCTGTTGGGTATTAGGGACAGAGTTAACTGTTTTCAGTGATGTCTTTATACTTTACTAGTTAGTGACTTTTATACGGTTGAAAGTCATCCTCCCCGGCTCCCTTCTTCTGATTTCGAGTTTTGCCCGTTTCCACATTTTTTCCCCTAACCGTTTTGGCTACAATGTCCCCGAACCATTGGATCCATGCTAGGTTATAAACCTTATGGACTTGTTCACCATTTGCAGTTACCATAAGTGCTTTATCTTCTCTATGCACCGGCTTAAACAGGACTGTCGTGTGTTGGCATATTCTCTATGCAGCAATTGGTCAACTTCAACTCAAAACACTGTTCTTAAGTTAGGAAGTTCATGTCTCAAGAGCACTCGTAGAGCATGTCAGTTTTTAGAGTTGCCGGTAAGCAAGTTAAGCTCAAGCTTTAATTTTATGTTTTGTTTGTTTTTGCTTTGTTTCTTCACATCTGATTTCTTTCCTCAATCTACAGAAAGTTTTTAATATGCTAAATTTGGGAAACAAATCTATTACAACTATTAACCCAGTTGAAATCTAGGTCTGTCATCTTAGTCTGTCGTGCAGTAAAGTAAAGGAAGACCTTTCTAAAGTGACCTGCCTCTCCCGCTCCAGCGTTGTCCTGCTTGTGCTGATGGTGTGCCTAGGTGTAGAGAATCTGCTTCAGAGTTTATCATCACACAGCTTAATGAGTCACATTGAGCTGCTCAGTCACTGAACTGCAGACCACTTTTATTTACAAAAAGGCTAAAGCATGTCAGTGGCATGATGCTTGTCAAGCCAGATCTAGGCATCTCAGATAATTAAGGTATTTTAGTATGCAATTTACTGCCATAGTATCAAAGGTCAATAACAGTGTTCTTTTATCTTCAAGTTTATGTATATCTTTTAAAGATAACGTGCATGAATTACTTTGATCTTAATTATTTGTCACCCTATTAAACACAAAAGATTGCACAGTGATTTCTGTCCCCTTAATGAAAGCGCCTCCTCCCCCCTTCCCCGTTCTTTCCTCTCCCTCTCATTTTTTTTTCTTATCAAAGATTTGTTAATACCACAGAAAGGGCTCTTTTGACTTGAGAAAAGATAAGTGAAAATTCAAAAGATTCAGGTAATCACTCAGCACTTTACTGTATTCAGTAGAATTTACAATAGTACATTGCACGGAAGATATAGTAAAAAAAAATGTTCTGAATGAAATGAAATGCTCCTTATTGATTCTAGAAAACCAGTCAGTTCACCTGTGAACTCTGGGTCATTTGGATTTAGGGGATGATATTTTATTCTGAGGGTTGATGTAATGTTACTTAAAGAATTGTCATTGCAATCACATTCATCTTTATTCAGTAATTGTAATGAAGGGTAGTGAATAAAGAACATTAGACCTTTTCATTAAACAATTGAGGTTTAATTCTTTAACAGGTATCTTTACTTATTTTACTACATTTTTAATTAAATTTTACCATTGAAAAATGGATTAGTTATCAATGGGCTCTTTTCAACCCTTTGATGAAGAGGTTTTACTTACTTTGGGCAAGTCTGATAAGATATTTGAGCTGCTATATATAAGAATAATATGCCATTTAGACAGATATTCTAGAAAATCTAGCTTTTGAAATCATCTGCCTGTAATTTTGTGGTATAAAAACTATATGTGAACTACTTTTTAAAAAAATCTTGGCCATTTTGGTTGATCTCACTTTGGGGTAAAAGATGACAATTTGACTTAAAGGGATTTAATACATGGCCTCCCTGCTTTGCCCAGAAGAATCTGGCTTACATGTTCTTAGTGCAAGGCTCAACCTAAGGCTCACTGTTGGACAGGTGGACTTGAATTTCATAACCATGTATGAAATAAGAATGTCCTCACATAGTGGCTTCCTTCAAGAAGAACAGATAACTTGGAACTGGTCTTTAGTCTTGAAAACCACAGTGCTGTTTTGCAGTCAGGATGTGGCTCTCCCTTTTCTGTTTGCTCACTCCAGAAATGCCATTGGGAGCTCCTAAAAAGCAGTTAAGAAGCTCAAAATTGGCCACGATTTTATTTTAGAATAAGTTGGTTCAGGAGTGCAACCTCAGATAGCTGTTAGGGTCTTCCTCTGAAAATCATGAGATTGAATAAAATAAAATTCTCAAGTTTGTGGGTTTGTTTTTGTCCATGGTAAGGAAATGATCTAATTGTATTCATTTGAATCAACTAAGCTAGACACTGTAGCATGATAGTATTGGCTAGTATTAATGTTTAAATCTCAACAATGTTTCTCTAGAAATGCCCCTGAATTTCAGATGTTCTACAATTTAATTATTTTTTAAAGAGAAATGGTTATTTTATTCAGATACCAGTCTCTTTTCTAAGGGCAAATGAACTACAGTTTTAAAAATGTCACTGTTTTTTCTGGGCCGTGGTGACATATGCCTTTAATCCCAGCACTTGGGAGACAGAAGCAGGCAGATCTCTGAGTTTGAGGTCAACCTGGTCTTCAAAGAGAGTTCCAGGACAGCCTCCAAACCTACAGAGAAACCCTGTCTCAAAAACAAAACAAAACAAAAAACTCCTCAAACAAGTCATTGTCTTCTTATCCTTAAGTCTGACAAGTATAAGCCTCTCTCAGCAATATAGCTGATAGATTTTGAAGTTAAGTGATTGCTCATTCACAAAGAAGTATTACTTTGAAAAACCCCATTTACTATAAGTTGAGAAGTTGTTCAGGTTGTATTTTGAAGTCTAGCTTCCTGAAATCAAATTGTCCAGCAGAGCCCCTCAAAATGTGCACATGTGTTCATCCCTGTAAGTAGTTCCCAGCAGGGGCTGGGTAAAGAGTAGTGTTCTTCCATCCTAGTCAGCAACACCATTACTTGGAACCTGGGCCACTTTAAAGTTAGGTACTAAGGAAACTTAAAGTGCTTGCCATCTTCTTTCTTCTCTTTTCCCTCTTATGTATCACTCAACAACTAGCTTCTCTCCCTTTTGTTGGTTCCCATTGTGTATCTTTTAAAAGAAGTACTGTATCCAGATGCCAGCCAATAAATTGTCACACAATGGAAAAAACGATATGCCACAGCATTGTAAGGTTTAATAAAATTAAGTTTGCACCAAACCCAAGTGTGCTCTTACTAACTCTTTAATTCTTGATGAGTGGTACTTGGAAATATATTACAGTGGATTCCACATTGAGGCAGGATCAGCCTAGATACCTAGTCTGAGCAAAGTGTCTCTCCATAGGAAATGGGCTCCAAAAAGCCAATTAGTTCATTAGGGATAGCTCCTGGTCCCACTGCCAGTGGCCCTACAAACTGCCCAAGCCATCCACTGTCACTGGTATTTAGGGGGCCTAGTGAAGGTAGTTTTTCTGTATTCCTATTTCAAGTAATAAAATCTAAGTTCCTTTCCCTGTGTCTTAAGTTATCTAATACAAGATATTAATTGATCTAGAAAGTTAGTCATAATTCTAATCTCATGAGTATAAATTAGAATTCAGTGTCATAGCTTTGCCCTTTTGGAACATTACTGTCTGTGCCTTATTTGTGACAAGTGTACATCCTTTGATAGGGGTCTTTTTACCATTCGTCTTTATTCCCATCTGTGTGTTAACAATGGTTGTCCACATCATCACCACAGATATTTAAAAGAAAAAACTTACCAAGCTTGAGAGGAAAAGGGTATCTTATTTTTAAGGATTTGAATAACAAGATATATGTGTTGAGATCCTGTTCCTCACAATGCCATGTTTCGTTGAAGTTTGGGCGTTGGGAGTTAAGAGGAATCATTGTTTCCTGAGTATCATGTTACTTTATTTTATGTTTATTATAAAAGGCCTATCCTATTAAATAAGATTTTCTCATTAAATTACAGCTTTACAATATTATTATGTGAATTGAGTTGGTTTTCCTCATGAGTTCCTTTTAATGACTTGATGACAATTGGTTTTGTTAGTGCAGTTGGGGTAGTCTTACTTTGTTTGCTGTGGTGTGAACTAAGAGGTACCCAGGACTTGACATAATGCCAAAACTGTATCATTCAGTCTCTTATATTTATGAATTATAAAATCTCTCTTTGGTGAAGAGAGTTCTACTAATACAGGATGTCTGAGTTAGTTATTATGTATCTGTTTTCATTTTCCAGTGCTGGGATTACAGGAATAAGCCCAGTTAGTAAGTCTACCTTCTTGGCCAATAGTCAACTATCTGGTAGCTAATGTTAAAAGGTCTGTAGCTTATGTGAATTTTGTAAAGAAATTGTTGAAAGGGTTGTAAAATACAGACCTCTGACTTGTCTATGATCTTAACAACTGGAGTATTATAGTATGTAGTAGAGCATATACCCTCAGTGGACATTTCCATTAGGTGAACTATGAACACTTCAGAGTTTATCAGTTTTCCACTAATGTCCTTGTATCTGGACCCATTCGAAGATCATTTGCATTTAGTCCTTTTGTTTTCTTAATTAGTCTCTAGCTTTCATTTTTTTCTAAAGTAGTGCTTTAAAATATCTTATAGCACATTCCTTAATTCATATTTATTTGCTATTATACCAGGGCAGGGCTGTAGTTGTCTAGAGAGGGGTATGTTACCCTTCTGAGTTCTCTCAGTGAATATACGGTTTCAGCCCTGTCATCTTTGATGTTGTGAACATTAGTCACTTAGTTAAGAACGTAACTACCAGGTCTTTAAAGTTACTATTTTTTCATTCATTTCACATTATACTCTGGAAGCAAGCCACTAGGTTCAAACAATGCTTAGGGGAGAATTAAACTTTACTTTCTAGAAAGGACCATTTGCCTGTATTACTTGGAATTCTAATGTAAAGGAGATTTGATCCTTTTCATTTACTCAATCATGTTTCTATATATGTTATCAATGTACTTTTTGTAACTAAAAAATGGCATTTTGTTGCTTAAATTGTTCCAACTCTTGCTAAAATGACCCACTACATGATGCTCAAGGCTGGGATTGTGCTCAGTGCTGGAATACTTGGGTTGGGTTCAACACACACACACAAAACCAGACAGTGGGATCTCATGGTATGGAGACAGTAGAAATGAAACCAAGCCATATACTATGAATAAGACAGGCTGGACTTCTTCACTGGGGGGTTCATTTTTTTTTTTTTTTTTGTAAAAAGGGGCAAGTGCTGATCAAAGAGGTGATTGGACCACTCCTTTTGTTCAAGCTTTCATTTGGGGATAAAGGATGGGGAGACTAAGGTTTGATAACGTTTCATTATCCATGGACTACTTGGAAGGATGTTTTCCTTCCTTTGTAAGTATTCTGGTTTGAGTATTGTGGCTGACTTAACCTAGGAACTGCTGACTTACCCTAGCAGGTGTATCGTAGTACACAAGCATCTTAGTCTTGGCTTGGTTTGGGTCTTGTGATCAGGCTGAGGGACTTTGGGTACTTGAGCTGCTGAGAAAGCACTAGGGTGGGGTAAAAGCATTCCAGCCCCAATCAGCAATAAGCCAACTTAACCTTGAGTAGGAGTTTGGGGTCAGCATGTAGAGCTAAGCAGGATTTGAACCAGGTAAGACTTGAGAGGCTCGATGCAACATGAGGACTTTTGTCTCATTTGAGTCACCCATCAACCTTTTCAGGTTTGAGTAAATTCAGCATTCGTAGTGCAAGTAGCCTTTTAAGTTTTTGCAAAGTAACCTTGGCAACTATTACCATAATTCAAATGTCAGGTGTGATCTAGGGAGCTATTGGGAAACCAGTGTCTGTCTAAACTGTGACATCCAAAGTCAAGGGCAGTGAGTTAGTTGCGCTAGCAGATCTGACTTTGTTGGTTATGAGGGTATATCTGGGGCCAGCTTGTGGAATGAAGTTTTTCATCCATTACAGTCTCCCCATTTGTCTTTGTTTACCCCATAATCTTGAGGGATTTAGTATCTGTGTGAATTTATCTTCATGACCATTGCAGATATACCTGTCTTGTCCAGCCCTTCTAGTCAAGGGGCTTCTAGCCTTTAAACAATTTGACCAACCCTGTTTGTGAGTCCGAGACTGAGGACAGAAGAAAACACCCATGTTTTTAATGACTAACTGGTCAAGAGACCAGACCAGAGTTTATCTGCCTTTTGTGGTCACTATCTCAATCCCAGCTGCTGCTACCACTGCCAAGTCCTTTAGGCTCATCATGTATTTTGTCTGTGCCAGCTCTGGAGTCAGGCATTGTCCCGAAGCATTGTCCACCTCCAGTGGGAGTACAGTTTTGTACAGTCTGGGATGTGTATGCTGAATGTGCTCATGCCCTTGGGACGTGCTACGTCTTGAGGTTGGTGAGCCAGTCTAGGAAAGCTGGGGATGTGTCCTAACATGCATCTCTGAAATGATGTCTGTTTTAGGTCTGGCTTGACTTGGTTCAGTTTGTTTTGGTTGAGTACAATTTAAACAAGAGTCTAATCATGTTATTGAGGCTGACCTGAAATTCCCAGCTCTCCTGCCTCAGTTTCCCTGGTGTCAGAATTCTAAGCAGGCCACAGTATCCAGCTCTGCCTGTGTATGTATAAGCCTGACTTTGTATCTCTAACTCCTAATCTACCACCTTCAAATTCTTTCTTGTTCCTCCTTTGGTACCTTTCCAAGGAAAAGCTAACCTCTTATTTACAGTGTAGTTGTGATTGGTTTGTTCTGTGTGTTTGCACTCACATGTGTGTGTAAATACCCTTGCACACATGCCACTGTGGGCACCTGGAGGTCAGAGGATACTTGGGTAGGAATCAGTTCTCATTCCATCAGGTGGGTCAAGCTTGGCATGGCAGAAAGAACCTTCTCTCACTGAGCCATGTTGCTGACTCCATTACCTATCTATATCACTTTGGTGTCCTAGGAACCAAAGTGATATAAAATGCTGACTACCAGCCATAACCTTCACCATAAAGACAGGTGAAATAGAAACCTGTTGTTCTTAACAATTGATCTCTTCTTTTTTTTAGCGGGACCTTATGTTTCCCAGACTGTCCTTCAACTTCTGTGAGTGATGCATAGTCTATTAACAATTTTCTTCATTTTTTAGACATCATCATTATGCTCAAATTTGTGCTTTGTGATTGCAACTTATATTTTGTCTTAGATAAAATTGGAAGCCAGGCTTAATGGAGTATGCCTTTAATCTCAGCAATTAAGAGGTGAGGGCAGGAGGATCAGAGTTCAGAGTCATCCTCCATTATGACAAGTTCAAAGCCAACCTGAAGCCAACCTGACCTACAAGAAACATTGTCTCAAACAACTACAAAATCATAGAATTACCCTTTGAATGTGAGTGTATGTTTATTAATGACCTAAAAAAATCAACTCATTAAAACTAGTTCATCCTGTGTAGTACTAAACTGTATTTATGATGACGGTTGGAAATTACTCAGATCTGTTTGTTCTTTGCAGCCAGGGATTTCAAGGAATTTATTATTAAGATGTGGAGCTGGCTGAAGAATAAAGACGTGGAGGAGATCAAAAACAATGTTAAGTTTTAAACTTTTGTTAATCTTTTAAATCATCTAGAAGTAATTAAAACATTTTTTTTCGAATCCTTGAAATTGGCCCAGGAAGAAATAGCTCCCTAGCCACTGCCTGTAAAGGGTATTTTACCTTAAAAAAGAGTGTGTTTCCTTTTGTAAAAGTCAATTTTAAAACTTATGTTCTGTAACCTCTATATTGTCTGTTCCCAATAGTGTCACACACTGTGTTAGTTACTTTTCTTGTTGCTGTGGCCAAATAACCTGACAAGCAGCAACATGAAGGAAGGGTGTATTTTGGCTCCTGATTTGAGGGTACTGACTGTTGTGGGAAGGTGTAGAGATGGCTTGCTCACATCAGGTTAGACCAAGAAGAAGAGAGCAGGGAATGCTAGCTCTCATCTGGCTCTTTTTCCTCTACATATTCAGTTGGGTCCCTTCTATTGATGACCTCTTCCAAACAGACACATTTAAAGGTGTACACATTAGCCCAAGGACGCCATACACATGAAGGTGGTTTGAGTGCCTTTCTCATATTAGTACTGGACTTCCTTGATAAGCCAGGGCACTGAGGAAGGCATGCAAGAAGTTGAGACCAAAGTCTATAATTATTGAAAGCAGCCATGTGTATTGTCTCACTTTGTTTTCAA